AGAGCGTCCTGTTCATTCATTCATTCACTCACCAAATTCATTCAACAAATATTTATTGAGCACCTGTGTGCCAACCTCTGTGCTTGGCATTATGTATATAACAGTAAGTAAAACTGAAGGGGTCCCTACCCTGTTGCAGTTTATAACCCAGATAAATTAATCATAGAATTTATAACACTGTAATATGTGCTGTGATGGTGGTAAGCCCAGAAGAAAGTGGGGGATGGTGGTGTGAGAGAAAACTTTCTAGAAGGAACAAGATCTAAATTGATATTTAAAAAACAAAATAGGTGTTAACCAAGCAGAGAGTAGTGGAAGAGTGTTCTAACCAGCAGGAATAGCATCTTGTGAAGGCCCAGGGCAAGAAAGAGCATGAAAATCATGTGGAGTGGGGGGCAGAGAGGCACATGAGTCAAGAAGCATAGGGAGGAAGAGACTGGGTACCAGGGACCCCGGACACCAGTCAGGGAAGAGATGGATCTGGCAGGTTAGGAGGCAAAGGAGTCTGTATTCTACCTTCGGAGCAGTGGGTACTCACGGAAGGTTACTGAGCCAGGAGAGGGTAGCATGAGCAAAGTGCGGTTTAGGAGGATGGATTGGCGAGCATGAGCTAGATGGCAGGATATATTCGTAGGATTCCTCAGGGCAGGCTCTAGTCAAAGTTCAGATCATCGTTTAACAAATTCTTCTAACTATAGCCCCATTTTGTTGTTGCTTCTCCTCTCTTCCCTTATGTGTAGTACTCCCCAGTAGGATGGGTGGTTGTATGAAACCTGAACTGACCACACTCCTGCTGGATGATTATGAAGTTTCCGTCTATGACCTGAATGGAGACAGGAATGGCCGAGAAATCTGGCCAAACTACTACGCGCAGGCACATGGATTTGTTTTTGTCCTGGATTCCAGTGACTTAAGGCGCATGCAGGAAGTGAAGGTCATCTTACCACGCCTGCTGTCTGATGAAAGAGTGGCCGGGAAACCCATCCTACTGTAAGAGTCTGCCTTTGTGTCCAATTTCCCCTTCCCATTTTGTGCCTTTAGAAGAAGTAGACAGAGGAAGGGTTAAGTGGTCCCTGTGTCACATCCAGTTAGACTTCCTCTCCTCTTTGGCTGAGGGGGAGTGGCCCAGTCCTCTGGGGGCTGTTTGCAAGAGCCACTTTCTACCAGGCACTGCCATGCGGGAACCTGTTACCTAACTGTGCAAAGGTAATTTTGAAGGCAAGCATCAGAGGGAAATGGAGAGTAATATCTGGATCTTCCACTGCACCCCCCGCCCCAACCCATCCCTCGACTCTTCCTGAAGACTGCCTTCCTAAATTTGCTTCTTTTTTCTGGCTTCGGTCTTTGACCCTGAGACGATGGCAGAAAACCCCTATTTTGTATATTCAATGCCAATGGCCTCCTCCCCTGGTAAACTGCCCGAGAGCTATGTAACTAACTCTTACCCCAGGGTGATGATTCAGGTGGCCAGTCAATCCTCACCCCTCCCCCACTCCCTTTTAGCCTTTTTTGTTCCTCGTTAGGACCCCCAACTCAAGCGTGGACAGAGTTTGGGGGAGGATGTAGAAGCGCCAAATTCGTTCGTATCCCAGTTAGCAATTCTAATTAAAGTTTGATGGTGCAGTGTAGAGGAAGTGAGAAATGAGGCCTGGGGACTATCTCGGATTCAAATTACTTGTGCTATTCTTTCCTCCACTGAGAGTTGGTTAGAAAAATGTCGGGCTCACCTCACTGGGTATGGCTTAAAAGCTAGTCCCTGGATATGTAGCAGCTGTACCAGAATTGGTTGTCCCCCTCTTTCCC